CTCTTCTCTTCTCTTCTCTTCTCTTCTCTTCTCTTCTCTTCTCTTCTCTTCTCCTCTCCTCTCCTCTCCTCTCCTCTCCTCTTCCCTTCCCTACCCTACCCTACCCCACCCTATCCTATTCCATCCCACCCCATCCTATCTTATCCTATCCTATTCTACATTTTAAATTCTATCTCAACTCCGTCTAATTTCAGGGGATATCTGGGAATCTTCTTTCCCGAATGGGAGGGGAAAAGAAAGGCGGAGGCTTTGGCTCTCAATAAAAACGGCTCTCCCGCCTTTAATTTTTTATCGCTCCGCGGACATCGCTTCATGAGGGCTTCCTGAGCGAGGCGAAAGCGGGGCGCGAGCGGGAGAACCTCGGCATGCCAACGGTAAACCGCCGAGCTCTGGAATGGCTCTACTGGCTGGTAAGGCGGTGCTGATTTTTTTTTTTTTGGGGGGGGGGGGGGGTCCCCCCCCCCCCCCCCTTCCCCCCCCCCCCCCCCGCCAAAAATTCTTTTGGTGTTTGAGGGAGCGGGACACGGCATCTCCCTACAAAGAAATCCCGCAGCTCAAAAGCAAGGAGCGGTGCGGGATCGTCCCCATAAATTGGGGTGTGTGGGAACTCTCTGTCTAGGAGGAACGGGCTAGGACTTCTCTCTCTCACACACACACACACGTTTGCCATTCACTTGACACTTTAATTTAAACGGATTCACCCAATGCGAGACCCCGTGTGGTTACCCCCTCAAATGTTAGGCGTTACTCTTAGCGTGTATAGCAGTCCTTGAATATACGCTTGCAACTTTTAAGAAACATACTAACCTAGTTGGGAAACAAGCAATGTAACCCATAAGTTTTGCCACTTGGGGAATGTTACTTAGAATCAGGGTCTTCTATTATTCAGGCATTGCATGTAATCTGTGCCTTTTATTGTTTGATCCCTTGCTTTCTAAACGTGTGCTTCATTGATTTCTGTACCCTGTAAATGGCCTTTGACACCCCCTCTCCTCTTAATAAATGTTGTTTTTTGCTTCGCTTGAATTACTTGGTCATTTTTATTTTCTGCTGAACAAAGAAGCCCCTTTCTCTCCCCCCCTCCCTCCCTCTCTCTCCCTCTCATATTCAGGGATCAGGTTCACACTAAGGTTTTCCATGGAGGTCTCGAGGTTGCCTGAACACAACATTAGCTCAGCCCCCTGCCCTTGACATTTGACCAACTTTCCAATTATAATGACACTGGCATTTCTCATCCCCTTTTTAATCTCAATAACTGGATGTCTATAGAGGAGCTGTATCAAGAGTTTACAGAGGTGTCAAACTGAGCTTGTACAGAATAGATCACTAACCCACTTTAGGTCATGGCTTCTTGCCTTTCTGCCTTTCTCTCCCAACTTTAATCAAAGATTAGGCTTTAGTTAAGTCTAAACAAATACAGGCTTCGATTTAGTCCTTTATAATAATGTTGTTTCCTCAAGCCATTTGCATGCCTGGCAACTGCCTGGAGAAGACGCTGTGGTTTACTTGGCAACGTTTTTTAGAAATGGGCTTGCTGGTTTCTCCTTAGGGCTGAGAGAATGAAGATCACCCAGCTGGCTTCCTGCTTAAAATAATGTCTCTGTTTCTTTAGGGTGGGCACATTTTATGTCTGTGTTTATCGGTAAATTTCTGGAGGATTTGAAATTTAATCCACACATTTTTCTGAATCCCTGCTGTCCAACAGTTGCAATAATTAAAAAGCCTGTCCAATCCTTTCAAACTGAACTGTAAAAAATATAAATTCCTAGGAGAAACAGAATAAACGTTAGGTGAAGTCTTGTGAGCTTTGTTCTAATTTTACCCTAAACATCTGAAATAAGCATGTACTTTTTGGCTTTCTTGTTAAACCATGTTTACCTATTATTTTAACCCTCAAAGTGATTACATTTTGGTGTTTTTTTTTTCTGCTTTTGATACTCGACAACTGTCTGGAGTTCCTGCCCTTTTTCTGCCAATATTTTACATGTACTTTACCATTGCTGCTTTCATGGGACCGCAAGAAAAGTGAGTGGCCTAAAATCACCCAGTTGCGCTCCATGTCTAAGGCAGGACTAGAACTCTTAGTCTCCTGATTTCTAGACTGGTGCCTTAACCACTAGACCAGGGGTGTCAAACTCGATTTCACTGAGGGCCGCATCAGGGTTGTGTTTAATCTTGGGGGGCCAGGGTGGGCATGGCCAGCTCAACATCACTCGTGTTGGGGGCACTTGTGGGGTCCAAGTACTCTACTAGCAAAAACGGGGTCCCAAGCTCCATTTTCACCTGCAGCAGCCTCCTGCAACTATCTGCCAGCGAAAACAGAGCTTGGGAGGGCTGACCACAGGAAAGCATGGGCTGGTCCTTCACTGTATCCAGGACAGCCCCGCGGGTCAGATCTAAGTACCCCGCAGGCCAGATCTGGCCCCTGGCCCTTGAGTTTGACACCCCTGCACTAGACCAAACTGGCTCCAATTCTGGCTTTCTGGGATTTAAATTAGACCATTATGTATTGTAAACTATGCTTTATAATTTAGCAAATTAAATGCATCAAGCAAACTATGATTCACTCAAGAAAAGTGGTTAACATAAAACTTATTTGTGCACAATAATCACTGTGGTTTTGGGGTGAAGGTATTGGACTAGGATGCAGAGAATCAAGTTCTGATTCATTCTCAGCTATGGAATTTCACTATATATCTTTAAGGCCAGCCATACTCTCCCAACCTAACAGGGATAAAATAGAGACCCTTGTGGAAACTCTTGTGGAACTCCTGTGGAAAAGGCAGAATTAACATTTAATAAATAGTTACAGTACATAAGCACAATCTCATATGAACCTCTTAAGTTCCTGGGTTCTTGTAGGTAAGTTGCAGATTTGATTTTGGTGGTGGAGATAAAATAAGTATAAAGAGAGGCTTGACATATCAAATGTAAATTCATATTAAGAAGGGTATTTTCTTCTTTTCTTTCACAGATTCTTCTTGCTACTGTATTGATTTCGTGGGGCTACGTCATTTACGCAACCCGAATAGCAGCCAAGTGGCAATTGAAGGAGATGTATCCCACACAAGCCCAGAATATTTGAGATATCTCCAGAGTGGAATACCACAGAAATACAAGCACATTCTATAACACCATAAATAATAATCTGCAAAAACATGAATTCCCAACTGGAGCGGTTGAGCTGCACGAGTATTATTGAAGCTTCAGAAATGCAGATAAAGATATCAAAACAGCTGAACATCTGATACGCAGTACTATTAACATATAACTGAGAAAATATTTTTGAATACAGTTTTAAAAAAAAGAATTTTATGTTTTCCACTTTACTGCTTATTTCAATATGTTTCAGAAGAGCAAGGCTAACTAGATTCAAGAAAGTTTGGTTTGGTTTTCAAGTTAAAAGTTACTCTCCTACACAATGCTTTTAATGGTACAGAACTAAATGCCTGAATATCTATGGAAGGATTGGCAAAAAATGTATATGTGAGAATTATACAGTGAGAATTTGAAGTTAAATGGATGATCAAGCTATTTGATACTATTCTGAAGAAAAATCCTCATCATACTGGTATGTTTCATTAAATATATCCACTCTACAATGTATTGTTAAAAGCCAAGGTTATCTAATTAGGGACATTTTTAAAGGACTATTTAATTTTACTTAATAATTTATGTAAATTAAATGTAACTTTATTTTATTTTTTGCTTCACTTTATTATATCAGTTAAAAGAATTGTTTTTTGAGTGCACTAATTGAGTCCTTGATAGCCAATCTATAATATTTTGAATTTACTTGTCTAATTTCATCTGCAGCTTCTATAAAATCCAAGGTCAGCTACTAAATCAGGAGTACTAATAGATTCAATAGAAGTGCCAATGCTACCTGCAATACATCAAAAAGTTGTCCCCAAACTACAGACCAATTAATCTGTAAGTATAATCAGTCAGTTGTATATCAAATACCTGTGTCAGGGCAACATTTTGACTTTTGGCCGGGGCATTCAGTTTTATATTCAGCCTTTATTGGACAGGAAAACTCCAAAACTCATCTAGGTTTATAACCAGCATTAATTGATCCTTGATCCACATTTAACCTGATTTTAAAACAATGTTTGGGCATAAATTATGATCTTGATGTCAAAATAACGTGAACGCATATATTGGGGTTCACTGCAGTAGCCAAGGACACCTGCTTTAAAAAAAAAATCCAAATTATAGGGGCTAGGCAAGAATGCATCCTGGCTCCATTATTGTTCTATACAGTATTAATCCATTTGGTGCTTATTTAGACTATCTTCCACAAATTTTGACCATTTTATATAGGTGATGGATAATTCTAAAACTCCTGTCCTCATTTAGCAATCACAATTGGGACAGACAACTCGGTTGTTAAATGTGCTTAAGATCTTACTTTGCCAATTTCCTTTGTTTTACAGACCTGCGAATGTTGCAAATGAGAGGATTGGTTACACTTTTTCATTGCTATCCTAACTGAACGTTGCTGCACAAGGCAGATGCCAGATGAGAACTACCTGTAAATCTACCTGTAGATTTAGGAAGTGGTATATGCTCTGGTTAACTCCTGTGATAACCTTTCATTGCAGATTAATGATAACGACATTACCAAAATAATGCTATTCACTAACAAACACAAGAGGGTAAATTATCACAACATGATCAGAGTTTATTACAGATAATCTGACCCAGAAGTATATCAGACAATGATTATTTGATAAGAAACTAAGGCCAGTCTCATACTACTGATGTCTTCTTAGAAAACCAGGTATTCAGGTATTGGAGAACTTAATTTGATTTTAATGCCTCTAGCATTAAATAAAAATGAATGGCAGTTCGGGTTCTTCTAAGCCTTAATCCAATCAATAGTTAAGTGAAAAGGAATGGAAAGAACAAAAGAAAAAAAAGAAATTCTTCAGGTTCTTCACCACCTTAATCCAATTAAAAGGTCTCAAAAATAGAAAAATAAAAACATAAAAATGAACCAAAAGTATAGATGGAAAAAGCAAAAAATCCCAAAGAAGGGGAAAAAAAGAAAAAGAAAAATTTTGAGGCTTTCCCTTTAAAACAAAACGCAAAAATAAAAATATTACAAAAATAAAGGCGCTTTTTTTTTTAAAAAAAAGAAGTACAGTAAAGCTGGTAAGGAGGGGTAGCACAACTTAAAAAAAACAAAAAGAGCACACTGCACTTTATTTAATCATCCAAGGCTCTTATTATAACTCTCTTCTCCACAAACTTCAAAACCAAGCTTCAATTGTTGATAGAAATCCAGAAGAACACCTGCAATAACACTCTCCCGTGCTCTTCCCTCTATCTTATCACGTTGCAATGTCCTTGAAAGGGAGTCTCTGATCTTTCTTTCTCAGCTTTCACAGCTTGTCTAAGATATTTTGAAGCCTCTAGTTGGCAGTGTTACAAAGTTTCTTCACTCTCACTTTCCCCCTCCTTTCCCAGGCAAAACGTAATAGAAGTTAAAAAATAAAAGCAAAAGTATATATGAAAAAAAGGAAAGTAACTAAAGGGAGCCTCTAACCTAAAATATTGCAAAGTCAAAAAAGAGAAGAAAAAATACATGTAAACAAGAAAAAAGCCAGTCCAGTTAGCAAATGTTAAATCGCGATAGAAGTCCAGTAATAAGAAAAAAAAATAAAAAAATAAAAAGCCAAGCCTTACTTTGACGTTTCCGTTTAAAAACTGCTGCTTATTCCGTTCTGTCAAAACTTTTACAGATTTTTCCTTTTTTTTAGGGTGTCCCTTTAAGTCTTAGAGTAATGGTAAAGACAAAGTTCTCACCAAACCGACACACTTTCTCTTTCCAGTCTCTTCCGCAAGAAGGGCTTCTCCTGGATCAACCAGGGACTTTGCGGTGTCCCTGGGATCGGCAGGATGCGCTCTTCACTTTCACCGTCTCTTCGGGACGGTTTAGGTCCATTGGGACTGCCCAGAGGCAAAGATATCGGCTGCAATCTCAGACCTCCGAGATTGCATGCAGTATCGTTGCGACGTCAGCTCCGCCCCCATTCGCTCCGCCTCTAGCATTAAATAAAAATGAATGGCAGTTCATGACTTAGTAAGAATAGTCATATGAAGTTTTTAGTTGGGGGACCTACATAATACAACACTAATCTAATAAAGGCCAACCATGTCTTTGTGATATCAATTATTTTATCTGGATAAATGGTAATGTATCAGATCTTAACCCAAATGAGAAATATTAGCCTATGGATAATTTGTGCATACATTACTTTTAACAAATCAGTTCTGGGTTTAGCTTTTAAACTGAAATAAGCATATAACAAAAATTAAACCAAATCTGATCCGGGCAAGTTTTTAAAAATCTTTGGAGAAGGTTATATCATGATATGGGACTGATCTGCACTGTCATTATTTAATGAATAGACTATAAACAGAAGTAAAGCCCATACCTTTCTAATACTGAAGATATTATCCAGTCAGATAATGAAACAAGCAACCAAACTCAGAAAACACCAAGCACTCCAAGGTCACATTTTAATTAATTTATTTTATAAAATGAATTATTCCTTATGCCTTACAACAAAGTTAGAAACAATAGTAAACAATAACTATTAAAAAAATGAAGGCTTTTTCATCCAGCTATATAAGTTAAACAATATGCACAAAGACACCTAAATATTGGCTAAGGTACAAAGCAAAAAAATTGTAACTAAGAGGAAAAATAAAGACTTTGGTAATACTTAACAATTGGAGCCTGCCCATTCATAAGTAAAAAAAACGTCGCAAAATGAGTAGGACTCAATTTTATGAAATTTTAATTTAATTTATTAAAATTAATTTCATAAAACAAGTTATACTTTATGCATTGGAACAAAGTTCAAAGCAATAGTGAACAAGTAACAATTATTATAAAAACATTCTTCCTAACTTCCTTTACCACCATTTCGTGTCAAGGGATACAGAGTTCTTTTGGTTGCCTCAACCATTAATTAAAAATTAAAAACTAAGGCGTTTTCATATAAAGCAAACAAGATGTATAAGGACAACTAAATATTGGTTAAACTACAAAGCAAAAACTTGTAACAAAGAGGAAAAATAAGGTTTCCAAGAATATTTAACAAAGAATAGTACTTTAAGTTGCTTTTCTTAATTTAGTCTCTTCTTTTTCACTCCTCTTGGATCTTCTTTTCTCACTGAGGAGAGACATTCATTATTCTTATGATTGGCCGCACTATCTCTGGAACCAGCAGAGGATGTTGATGCAGATCAACTAGCATCAGTAGCACTAAAGCTGCGCAGTTGGATAGGCTGCTCTTCTTCTAAGTGCTATTCCCATGTTATGGCAGGGTCTTCTCCATTTGGCTCCATCCAGCGCATTTTCAGGGTGACATCCACGCATTTCATGTCCTCTTTGATACAATCCGTCCCCCTTTTCTTGGGCCTGTTGCTTCTACTTTTGCTGGTTGTGACATCTGCAACCCAGTTATGTTTGCAGAAGGGTCTTCATCAGAGCTTCCAGAAGTGTTTAAAACAGCAGATGGAGAAGCATGAGTTTGCTCTAACTTGGAATAAGATGGGCCTGGCGTTTCATCATCCCAGGGTGCCTGGCCTGTGTCACTTCTGAAAGCATTGCATTCAGGTACTTGGGTTTCAGTCTAATTGGGAGATGGTAATAATAGAAGAGTCAGAGTTGCTTCCTTACCTGCTGGAGCCGGACAGTCATAATTTGCATGCTCGTCATATGCATCTATATTAAATGGACATCTAGCAAAGTTGGTAAATTCATGTAAGAAGTGTTCCCTATTTTGAAATAAGAAAAGTTGTAATTCTTTAGCACATGCCTGGCTTTCTAGACCAAACTTAATTAAATTATGCATTATTATATGTTGTACAATATTGGAGAACCATGAATACCAAACAGAACTGTAAGCTCATTTTTGAACTATGGCAGCAGCCTCTGAAGGCAAGTAGGATTCCTACAGAAAATGATGTCCCTATAATCCCCAATATTGGCCCTCCCATCTATGGACCCAACAGAGGCTGGTGATGCAGATCTATGATTCAGATATATTTCTCTTTATCACATTTTGTATTAGGAATCTTTCCTTCATAAATAATTTCAGAGCTTGGGCTTCTTGGCCCTTTTTTCTTCTTTTCTTGTTGAGTCTCCGCTTGAACTTGTCTGACTGCAATGCTAGCTGCCTTTCTACAGATGGCCTGGGGCTTTGATAAAGATATCTTTAGGCTTTCTCTGATAGACAAGGTTTCCTTGCTACCTCTCTAGTACAATACTTAGCCCTTAATGGCTTTTTTAAATCATCTTTTAGCTGATACACTCTTTCAATGTCATAAAATTTTGCTTTTTGCTTAACAGCCATCAAGAGTTAACAGGACAACCACTAGATTTAATTCAATTACAATTAATTTTTCTCCAAGCTTAGTAATAACAGTAACCATTAACCCTCCTGTTTATTAGTTCTGGATATTTAAAAACAATTAGTCCCTTTTAATAATTTAAACAATACAACCAAAAGACCAACAGAGGTAGATGCAAGCATTTCGTATGGACTCATTAGTATCTACATTACAATAACAGGGTTAAAATCAGCCTTATAGTTCTGGATGTATTTATGAAGGTCTCCACACCGAAGCTTTAGTGTGAGCAGCCTCAGGGCTCAAAGTGGTTTACCTGAATGAAGAAACTAACTTCTTTGGCTATGTATTCCATTTTGTTTTATTTATCTTTTAAAGTTGTGTCTATTTTTTTTAATTATGAATCTGTATCTTTAACATTTATTAAACATACAAAAAGCAGTTTTCTAACGATTATTTTTTTAAAAAGGAAGGGGTGGGGCTTCACTTCGGGTGCAGCCGGAAAAGAAACTTTGCTTCTGACGTTTTTTCAGGGTGGGCTGGATGCTCAGGCTCCCCCTGAGGGTCCTGGGAATGAGGCCGGATGCTGCACTGGGGGGCTGCCAAGGCTTCAGACTCCATTGTCTCTTCTAGGACCTGCTTAAGGGCTTCCAGCTCTTTGCAGAGTTCCTTATTTTTTTCCTGCACCTCTTTCAGCTTTCCATCCAAGAGACTATTGTCCTGACAGGTTTCTTCCTTGCACTTGCAATCCTCCGAGCAGGCCATTTTCTGCTTTCGGCAACCAATAGTCCTTGTTTCTGCAGCGCCCTCGACAGGCGCACCCGGAAATCTTCCTCGTGCCTCGGGTGATTTTGGCTGGCAGCCGGTCCTCTTCCGAGTCGTCTGGTTCTGAGAGCAACTCTTCGGGGCCCATTTCAGATCTCTGCTTTGCGCCGGCCACCCGGTGAAGCTTTGGCCCAGAAATCTTCTACCTCGTGCCTCAGGCGATTTTGGCTAGCACCCGCTCCTCTTCCAAGTCATCTTAAAGTTGTTTCTAAGTTGTATGTTTTCTAAGACCTATCAGTAACCAAAATAAAGTACTTTGTTGTTGGATTCAGTATCTATACACGATTAGTGACTGCATTAGAGACCATCCCAGCTGGCAGTGCTTTCCCGATAACCCCACATTAGCCCAAAATCATTAAGTCTCTTATTGTCCATTTTGAATCACATCCCACTGGTGTGGAAGGCACTTCTGAGTTGAAAAGATTAGCTACCGACTTCACCGTTGCCCTGGGGACAGCCAGTTGAGGGTTCCTTTCACGTCCCCAGCAGAAGCTGGAATGAAGGATGGAAGCTCACCCTATCCCACAGCAGCACTCGAATCTCCAATGAAGGCTTGCTAACCTCCAATGCAAGCCACTGTGCTGAATTATATGTTCATTTATATAGGAAACAAGTTTTTAGTTTATCAGGTCTTGGAGTCTCTCAGTCCTCAGAGATTAGTATTTCTCCTCCAGTAGCTTATGATGGTGATGTTGCTTCTTTTTCCTCCAGCCTATCTTCCTGATAAATGAAAAAAGTTACAATATACATATATTTAAAAAAAACCATATACTAAATACTTCCATGGCTTTTTTTCCCAGAGGAAAATTTGGTATTATTTATATATATATATATAAATTATACAAGAGATATTTTTCTTAACTTAGAAATCCTTGGTATATGACAAATTGGTATAGGGCAAACAGTGCTAGTCACAATAACTTTGTATTGCTGTAAAAATTAAAAAAAAAATTACAGGTCATAAAAGTAAATGTCTACTTCAAACTTGCATTTGTGACAAGTTCAATATTCAGAATTCAGAAATGACTAATACAGAAAACATTCTAAAGCCATTTAAGCAACGAAGCAACATACCCATTATTTTCAAAGAATATTTTTGTGTTCCTTTTGTAATTTGGTAGATGCTCCCAATTGAGGAAGTGGTTAAAGATGCTGGCAATGAAGCCAGCTGGTGACTTTGGACTAGTACCTCTCTCTAAGCTTTAGGAAGGAAGGCCAAACCACTTCTGAACCACCTTGCCAAAAAAACTTGCAGTCATCTTAGTCAAATTTGAAGGCAAAAATTAAATGAAATAAAAAATAAGCCTAGGTTTACCTTAATCTACAATCTTAAGATTTTTTTTACACAAATAGAGGTTACAGAGAATAGTAGACAACTTACTGGATATATTGTAGGCTTTTTTTGGGGAATATCTTGGGGAGTAGGCTGCAAATGAAAACAGAAGAATGATTATGAAGAAAGTAGTAATTTGGACATTCTTTGGAATTTATCTGATAGATTTTTCCCATCTTGGTATCTTTTCAATTCCTTATACTATGGAATCTGTACATTTGACCTCAATGTGTTCTCAGCAGAATTCTCTGCAACTACATAAAATCAGAACATAGCCACTTTCGCAAATAGGAGGAACTCATTTTTTATTAGGCTTCTGGAAAGTTACGCAGGCACTTACTAAATATATTACTGGTACGGCCAAATAGCAGTATTAGAATGGGGAATAGTGGTTCTGGTCACAACGAGATGGAAGTTAACTGAAGGTCTTGCCTACTGGCAAACAAATTTTTGCAAAATTGAAGCTCATCACGCACAAAAATTCTTTCAGTTTTCAAAGGAAGACCAGATCACTGGAGAAACATCTGTACAAGGTTGATGTTAAATGTTTTGTTGGTTTTATTTTAAAATTTTGTATTTGCTGCAGAGCTGGGACCAAATCAAACAATTAAAATTTTAGAACCTTACTTTCATTAACAAATTTAATTCAAACCGTATATAGAATAAATGTATTGTTACACAAGACTTTAAACAAAATTCACTCTGGTTTTTTTTGGTAGTGGTTTGTTCTCTGAACTTACCATTTAGCTCCCAAACATTTCATTACCAAACTAGGTAACATCTTCAGCAGGACTTTGGGTTATGCGTCTTGTTCCACTTCTCTTTTGTGTGGTGTTGTGGTCAGTACATCATGTGATTGGCTTGGCGCGAAATTCAGCTGGTGAGGGGGTGGTCGGTTTCATTGTCGATTGTGAACGGTCTTGTTTCTTATAGGATCATATGCTGGTTCTAAATCAATGGGTTTGTTGATGGATCCATTTGTAGAGTACTAGAGTTCGATGAATGGTGAATTTTTAGCATGGCTAATGATTCTGGCTTCGTCCCAGTTGAAATGGGACTTTGTTCATTGTCGATGTGGCTCGAGATCAGAGACTTCTGGTTATGTCAGTTGATTGCCAGTTGATGTTCATGAATTTTGGTTTTTAATTGTCATCCTGTTTGTCCAACATAGAAAAATAATATTTTAAAATACTTACAAAAGCAACTATAGCACTCCGGTCATCAAGCCAGCACCAATGACCCTCCACAAAGCAGCAATGAAAAACAACCACAGCAACTGCAAAATCCCTGGCTCTTTATTGCCTATGTGACCAGAGGGGGTAAAAAACCCAAGCTGAATCATATGGGACTCCAAAAATTCTTTTTTGCCTTTTTTTTACAACTTTCATTTCTTTTTGGTAAAACAAATTATTATTTATGCCTTACAACAAAGTTAAAAATAGTAAACCAATAACGATTATTAAACATTACAAACTTGTTTTCCCCAAAATAAGACCTAACTAGAAAATAAGTCCTAGCCCAATTTTTAGAATGCTCCTAAGCCCTACCCCCAAAATACAACCCAGCTAAGTTCATCAGAGGTGTGGTCAGCACCGGAGGTGGTGAGTGTGCAGGGGGTGGTGTCTGGTAGCAGCCACAGCCTGCGCAGCACAGGTGAGTTGATTACCTGTCCAAGTAGCAAGTGGAGGCAGAGGTGGGGGGGAAGGCAGGTGATCCATATGTGCTGTGCAGGCAGGAAAGCTGAGTCAGTGGCTGGGGCGGGTGGGTAGCTTGCTTGTCTTCAAGGGCGGCACTGGCAGCAGATGGAGGTAGAGGCACAGGGGAGGCAGGTGATCCTGATACGCCATGTGGCCCGCAGACAAGCCAAGAGATGGTGGGTGAAGTGGGCAGGCGGCTACAGGACCTTCATCTTTGCGTCACTCCTCTTGCCTGCGGCCCATGTGGCAAATCAGGATTTCCTGCCTTCCCTCCACGCCTCTGCCTCCATCTGCTGCTTGGACAGGTAATCAAGTCACCTGCACTGCATAGGCTGTGCAGCCTGAGTGCACCAAGGGGCCACCGGGCTGCAGCGGATAGTCAGCTCCCACATGCTTGCTGCCTCTTGTGCACGGCTGGGGATGGGGTGCCCAGCTGGGCTGATCACCCTGAAACTGCTTCTCCAAAAGTAAGCCCAAATCCATCTTTTGGAGCCAAAAATAAATAAATAAATAAATAAATAAAGACTGGGTCTTATTTTTGGGGAAACAAAGTATAAAAACTAAGGTCTTTTCCTAACAAAAGATGGAGAGGAATTGGTAGGATTTTTATGAGACTTCATTCTTTTTTTCCCCTTTTTATCATACCTTGTATCACTGACTTTCCTTCATACTTTCAACACTTTGGCTTCTTGATTGTTTTTTTTTTCTTCTATTCTTGAGTCTCCACTTGAGCTTGTCTGTCTGCATTCCTAGTGGCTTTTCCACAAATGGCCTAATGCTTTGGTAAGGATATCTTTAAAGCATTGATTTCTTTTGTAGAAGAGGTTTCTTCGTTACCTCTGTGGGTCTTCTCCTAGTAATTGCATTTTACATTTCCTTTTCCCATATATCTTTCCAGAACATCCTCTATCAGGACACCTGGAAGTTCCTGATCTGTTGCTAGATTGACTTCTTGATCTGCTGCCAAACAGGTTTCTTGATCAGTTTCTTAATCTATATCTTTCCTAAGGCTGACTTTCCATATCAGATCTGGAATATCACTTCAGAAGACTGCTGCATTCTGTAATCTGGGTTTGTAGGCTGCCTGGAATACTGTGCTCCAGTCTGAGCCGTAAATTTATCTTTAAAAAAATATTCAAGGATATTTTCCCAATTATATGTTATCAGTGTTAAGTATCAGAACATTAAATCTGTATTTCTGAAGCTTCAATGTTGCTGCTGCAACTCAGCCACTCTAGTTCATGTTTTTGCAGATTATTATTTATGGTGTTATAGAATGTGCTTGTATTTCTGTGGTATTCCACTCTGGAGATATCTCAAATATTCTGGGCTTGTGTGGGATACATCTCCTTCAATTGCCACTTGGCTGCTATTCGGGTTGCGTAAATAACGTAGCCCCACGAAATCAATACAGTAGCAAGAAGCAGCTATGAAAGAAAAGAAAATATCCTTCTTAATATGAATTTACATTTGATATGTCAAGTCTCTCTTTATACTTGTTTTATCCCCACCATCAAAATCAAATCTGCACCTTACTTACAAGAACCCAGGGGCTGAAAAGGGTCATATGAGATGGATGTCTTACTAAGACCTTATGTACTGTAGTGCTACTATGTAGTAAATGTTCATTCTGCCTTTTCCACTGGAGTTCAAGAGTTTCCATGAGAGTCTCTATTTTATCCCTGTTAGGTTGGGAGAGTATGGCTGGCCTTAAAGATATATAGTGAAATTCCATAGCTGAGAATGAATCAGAACTTGATTCTCCGCATCCTAGTCCAATACCTTCATCCCAAAACCACAGTGATTATTGTGCAAAAATAAGTTTTATGTTAACCACTTTTCTTGAGTGAATCATAGTTTGCTTGATGCATTTAATTTGCTAAATTATAAAGCATAGTTTACAATACATAATGGTCTAATTTAAATCCCAGCAAGCCAGAATTGGAGCCAGTTTGGTCTAGTGGTTAAGGCACCAGTCTGGAAATCAGAAAAGTGTGAGTTCTAGTCAGTGGTGGCATTCAATTTTTTCTACTACCGGTTCTGTGGGCGTGGCTTGGTGGGCATGGCAGGGGAAGGACACTAAAATCTCCAGTCAGAGGTGGTACTTGCCGGTTCTCTGAACTACTCAAAATTTCCGCTACCGGTTCTCCAGAACTGGTCAGAACCTGCTGAATACCACCTCTGGTTCTAGTCCTGCCTAAGGCATGGAGCCAGCTGTGTAATTTTAGGCCACTCACTTTTCTCTTAGTCCCATGAAGGAAGCAATAGAAAACTACCTATAAAATATTGACAGGAAAACTGCAGGAAGTTACCTGGAATCAAAGATTCAGGGGGTGGGGTGGGGAGTATTTCCCAGTTAGGTTTATATGTTTCTTAAAACTTGTGACTATATTCATGAACTTTCAGAATACATATATAGCTTTCCATATAAATTAGGGCTTCTGAAAATTTTTGAAAGGAGGCAAATTTACAGGTAATCCTCAACTTGCAACCACAGTTGAGCCCAACATTTCTCTTGCTAAGTGAGACACTTGTTAAGTTCTACCCTATTTTTACTACCTTTCTTGCCACAGTTGTTAAGTGAGTCACAATTGTTACATGTTTATTAAGTGAATTTGGTTTACCCATTGATTTTGCTTGTCAGAAAGTCACAAAAGAAGATCACAAAGATACTGCAACTATCATAAATGTGAGACAATTGCCAATGGTCTGAATTTTGATCACATGACCATGGGGATGCTGCAACTGTCATACATGTGAAAAATGGTCATTAGTTGCTTTTTTCTGTGATAGTAACTCTGAATGGTCACTAAATGTACTGATGTAAGTCGAGGGCTCCCTGAAGTTGCTGAAAAAGCAAGTTCTCATCTATCAAAGAAATGGCCTTGGCTAAGAAGACGAAAAACGGGTTCTCTGAAGGTTAAGAAAAAAAGAGGCCTAGACCGCCATGTTAAAAGTGCTAATATTACCTTTAAAAATGCTAATAAAAATACTAATAACATTTGAGATAACGAAATAACCACACGGGGGTCTCCATGTCTACAATCTGGAGAGAAAGAAAAACGACGCTGGAGACAGAAGTTTGGCTTCAGCCGGCATGAGGGGAATAGCTTTCAAGGGAATGGCAAACTTTTGGGGGGGGGGGGGAGTCCCAGGCCCTTTCCTCCAAGACAGAGAAAAACGGGGAGAGACAGTCCCCATCCCCACCCTCCACCAAGGTATGGGGCCTATCCGGCACCGGTCCTTGCTTTTGAGCAGCGGATGCGAGATTGAGCCAGTAAATCGCCCTCCCGGGATTTCCTTGTAAGGAGACGCCGTGTCACGCTCCCTCAAACAACAAAAGAAATGGCGGCGGGGGGTGGGTGGGGAAGAAGGAGACAAAGAAATCAGCATCGCCTTACTAGCGAGTAGAGCCATTCCAGAGTTCGGCAGCTTACCGTCGCCATTCCCAGCTTCTCCCGTTCGCGCCCTGCCCTCGCCTCGCTCAGGAAGTGATGTTCGCGGACTGGCAGGAAAGGGAAGGCGGGGAGAGCCATTTTTATTAAGGGAGCCAACTCTTCCCCCCCTCCCCTCCCCTCCGGGAAGTGAGATTCCCAGCTGAAATTAGACGGAGGGACGGTCTCTTCGGTTCCTGGGAACTTCAGGGCCAAATAATGTCCGCCGTCGGTCTCCAGCAAAAATATGTCGCTCTTCCTTGTTTTGATTCAGCCCTCCCGATTTAATCCCTGCCCTGCCCTTCCTTGCCAAGAACCACCATGATTTTGTTAAGATAGCCGGATCCTCTGCCATTTACTTTCGAATGGCTGTATGGAATCGCCCCTGGCTTCCCAAAGTAATTGCAGAGGTGGAAATCTCTTGAAATCTTTGCAAACCTGAGATTACTCGGGGGTGAGCCTCCTCCAGATAAGCCTTTGTCGTTGCCAGTGCTGGTCTCCCCAACACACCCTCTCCCCCAAAGCATCTACGGACAAAAACTCCCTTAGGGAAACAGAAAGCAACACTTTGCAAGTTTCATCAGAGAGAAGAACCTCGGCTATGCATTTGGCAAGTGTGACTGAAGCCCTCTTCTTTTTCTTTGTCCCCCACCTCAGTTATTCCCATCTTTGCTTCTTTTTGTGTGTGTGTGTTCTCATTTATGTCGTTTTCTTGCTTAGATTTGGTAAACCGCCCAAAGTTGCTGGAAATCGGAAAGCATATACATTTACCAATAAATAGGACAGCTTCTGTACCGAGTTCCGATTTGGACCGAGTTTTTCTCATGAATCAATACGAGTTAAGAGGGTGCAGTCAAGAGCCTTTTTCCTTTGGTGTCCGTATTGACTGCTAAATTGAAAATTATGGGTTAAAAAAAGAAGATTGGGAACGTGGCCTTTTCCCTCTTGAATGCGAGGAATGTGGACCTGCCGATGGACTCCTCACCGCACACATTGCAACAGCGATAAACTTTTGAACTATAACTCCCGAGATGCTTTGGGGGCTACCGTCTTGATCGCTGAGGCTTCTGGGAGTTGAAGTCATGGAACCGTACAAGCTTTAGCTCAGTCGAGGAAGCCTATCTAACCGTTTTCATTTTAAACCCCACCCCCTTTTCCCTTCTAACCCGGCAAGCGACTCCACCCCCTGCCTGCCACTTGGATTGTACATCCGGTTTGGAGAGGACGGGAAAAGCAATCCAAAGCAGCCGCAGCCGCGGCGGCAGGAGCCTTCTCAGCACCTGTCTCAGCTTGTGCCGCCGTCCATGTGTGACCCCCGAGAGCGACGGAGCCGAGCCGCCGGCGCCAATGGCCGTCGCCGCTGGCACCAACGGTCCAAACCGGTTAGTGAGCGGCTTCTATTGGGAAAGGGCGCCCGGCAAAACTCTGCATCTTCCGGACACTTTGCCCCCACCATTAGTTGCCTTGAGGAGGAGGGGAGAGCCGAGCGAGGTCGTCCGTTTCCGCTCCTGGCCGAGGGGCTTCATGCTCCGAGACTCGTTTTTAAACGGTCTCAGCCAACGGAACGCTCGGGTCTCTCGCCACCCCGCCCCTAACCGTTCCCCCCCCCCTCAGATAATATATGTAAATATACAGATAAATCGAACTCTGGGTCCATTTGCGGCCGCTGATTGGCTGCCCGGATGCTTAAATAGCAGCCCCGCTTCTCCCGATCTTTAGTTCTTCTTCGTCCTGGGTAGGCGGAGGAGGCGGCGGCGGCGGCGGCTTGGAGAATCTCGGAGGCACCGCCGTTGCTTCGGCTCTTTGGATACCAGGTGGTTCTTCTGATTTAGAGGAACCGTGGCCCAGCCTTTGGCTCTTTTAGGCCCTCTTTTTGGCCCCTACTCTTAAGACTGTACTACACCACAGGGTTGCGTGTTGAGTCCCTTACTTTGTACCAGTGATGGCTAATCTGTTCCATGTTGCGTGCCAAAAATGTGCATGCTCACATGCCTGCACCCATGATGCAATGTGCATGTGACTTCCCCCACCCCCTGTGCATGCAACCCCCCCCCTCACATGCCATATGCAGATGTGCACTCATCTTCCATGTAGGTGTCTCCCCCTGAGCATGCGTGGCAGATACCCAACAATCAGCATGTGCGGTTGGGGTCTTCCGGGCGACCTCTCAAGTGCTGGCAGAAGTGGCTCTGCGTGCCACTTCCGGCACAGGTGCCATAGGTTTGCCATCATGGCTCTATACTCTTTATGTTCATGACTCATGCCAGTAATACCATTACTAACTTTGCAGATGAAACAACAGTGGTGGGACTCATCTCCGGGGGGGGGATAAGTCTGCCTACCGAGATGAGGTGGACTGGTTGCTTTCGTGGTGTGGAGACAATAACTTGGTCCTCAACACCAATAGGACCAAGGAGCTTATAGTGGACTATAGAAGGAACAGATCAGACCTCCAGCCCTTGCTTATCAATGGAGACCAAGTGGAGCAAGTGGCCAGTTTTAAGTTTCTGGGTGTTACCTTAAAAGAGGACCTGACCTGGGGTGCCCACATTGCAGCCCTGGTCAAAAGGGCCCAGCAGAGATTATACTACCTGAGACTTCTCAGAAAACAACAACTGAATGAAAAACTGCTGGTGACCTTCTGTCGCTGCATCATAGAGAGTATTTTAACTTACTGCACCTGTATATGGCTTGCCAATTGCACAGTGCAGGTAGGACAGTGCTCCAGAGGATTAATGTCATTGCCCAGAAGATCCGCATACAGACAGGAGGTTGTACAACTTACCTCGTGTAACCGGAATAGTCTGGAACTGAATACACTCAAAACCGTAGAAATGGTGGTAGACTTTAGAAAAAACCCTCCTATACTACCACCTCTTACAATAGTAAACAACACAGTATCAACAGTAGAGACCTTCAAATTTCTAGGTTCTATTATATCACATGACCTAAAATGGACACCTAACATCAAAAACATCATCAAAAAAGCACAACAAAGAACGTTCTTTCTGCACCGACTCAGAAAGCTCAAACTGCCCAAGGAGCTGCTGATCCAGTTCTACAGAGGAATTATTGAGTCTGTCATCTGCATCTCTGTAACTGTCTGGTTTGGTTCTGCAACCCAACAGGACAGACACAGACTTCAGAGGATAATTAGGACTGCAGAAAAAACAATTACTATCAACCTCCCATGAGGTTGTATACAGGACCTGTATACTGCATGAGTCAAAAAGAGGGCTGTGAAAATATTTACAGACCCCTCACATCCCAGACATAAACTGTTTCAAATGCTTCCCTCAAAACGACGCTATAGAGCACTGCATACCAGAACAACTAGACACAAGGACAGTTTTTTCCCAAATACCATCACTCTGCTAAACAAATAATTCCCACAACACTGTCAAACTATTTACAAAGTCTGCACTACTATTACTATTAACCTTCTCATTGCTCCTTATCACCCATCCCCTCCCACTGTATGACTGTAACTTTGTTGCTTGTATCCTAACGATCTATATTGACTGTTTCCTAATATGATTTGATTGTTTATTGTAACCTATGATTATTAAGTGTTGTACCTTATGATTCTTGACAAATGTATCTTTTATGTATACCGAGAGCATTTACACCAAGACAAATTCCTTGTGTGTCCAGTCACACTTGGCCAATAAAGAATTCTATCATTGGTTACCCTTTCCCCTATTTGGAAGAGTTTTATAACTCCCGCTGCCAAGAAAGTTCAAAACATTCTTAAAGATCCATCTCATCCTGGGCACACTTTTTTTTTTTAACTATTACCATCTGGCAGACGGTACAAGATAATAAAAACAGGGACAAATAGGCTGAAAAACAGTTTCTATCTCAGAGCAGTAACTATATTTAATTATATTGTATAGTGCAGTATTGGTGCGGTGTGGGGGGTTTCGGTTCAATGTGTGGAGGGTGAAGGATGTGTTTATTTTTATGGTCACGGTCATGATGTGCACTGAAGATGCTGTTTGATTTCATTGTATGAGGTGCAATGACAATAAACTAAACTAAACTGTACTGTCTTCATGTATTAGAAGAGGATACACAACTTACTAATAATGACATATTTCTTTTACCAACACGAGAAAGCTCCCAGTATTATCTTACCTGAGGTAACGAGCGTGCTCCTTGCTTCAGTTTAAGGTCCAAATACTTGAACATTAGCGTATTATATGGGTTATTCCCTGTAGTGTTGTGGCACTCATCGAATATCATCAATGTGAATGTTGAAAGAGAAATATTTGTCCCCTTATTATTCAGAGAGTTCAAAAGAGTCTGGGGCGTCATGACAATAATATCATTCTGCTGAATGCAATATCGGAGGTTTTCAATTCAATTGTATAGAATGTGAAGGATGTGTTTGTGTTTTACTTTTATAGTTATAATGTACATATTTAATTTATTGTACTGTAATATTTAATTTCATTGTACTAGGTGCAATGACAATAAAGTAAACTAAAATTAAGATTGCCCAGACTTTAACTACTTTAGGCATTTCATACTGAGGGGAGATTCAAGTGGCTCTTCTTCTGACTTAGGGGCACCATGGCCTTGAAGATTACTCAGCCTTTGGCTCTTAGTAAAAGAGTTAGTAAAACATAAAAAATAAAGATAAGACAAGCCAGGCACAGGATAGCAAGGAATCTCACTTTTGTTACCCAAGGTTAACCAAAGATTGTTGTGCCTCTTCTAAACATCAACACTGTGGAGCCCTCTGATCTAGGGGTGAAGAATATATCTCTAAATGAGGAATGAAAGAACAGCCTTGCAGGAAACAAATTTAATCTGATAAATTGGTGATATTTTTACATTGTAGTTTTAAATACAAACATGTAACTCATGCCAAGCTTGCATTGATCATTGTATTTCTTTTCCATTTTCAGGGCTTGATACCCCTGGCAGATTTTTTCCCAAAGGATAATTCACTCCTATCTGGCATCAACAGGCTGCATCAGACAATGCCAGAGGAAATATCTCCAGATTCGAAGTGCCCGATCTGCCTGGACATGTTTGAAAATGTGGCCTACTTGGATCGTTGCTGGCACAGATTCTGCTTCCGGTGTGTGTTGGAGTGGTCCAAAAACAAAGCAGAATGCCCACTCTGTAAACAGCCCTTTCATTCCATCGTGCACAGCATGAGATCTGCAGATGACTACAAGGTGCATTCTGTGAGGCCTTCAGAAATGGAATCTTTTGCTAACCCGAATGGGAGGCGATTCCGTTACCGAACT